CCCGGCCTGGTCTCTCGGCGGCTCGGGGCGGGTCCCGGCCTGGTCTCTCGGCGGCTCGGGGCGGGTCCCGGCCTGGTCTCTCGGCGGCTCGTCGGCGGGTCTCTGAGTGGCTCATGGCAATGTCTCAGCTCAGCGAGCGAGTGGATTCCACCTGGGCACGTTCCCGAGGCAGTGGGGAGATCGGAGAGGAGGCAGTTTCAGCAGCAGTGATGGTATCTGTGTGGCGGTGGTGTTACGAACAGACAGCTAAGGTCTCCTGGAGAGCGAGATAAGCAGAGGACTCATTAAAGACTGCTGAACTTTTAGCTTATTCCTTTATTTTCCTAGTTCAAATCACAAAAGAATTTAATGTGAACTATTACCTTATTTCTTTATTTTTCTGCTATTCTATGAAGGAATGCTTGACTTTTTAACTTCCATTTTTCTTACGACTTCATACCTAAATTTTTTTATACCTAGGTACCATGGTAGCTAGGATGGTGCCATGTCTAGTGACATTATACACTTTTCGCTGTACTCATCTACTTCTGTACTTGAGTATGTGTGGCAATAAAAATCTAAAATCGAAATAAAATAATGATAGGTCATTGATGAAACAGCTGAAGATGGTAGGGCCTGAGACACTACCCTGAGGAACTCCTGTTGAAATGTCTTGGAGCTGAGATAACTGGCCTCCCACAACGACAACAGGCTTCCCTTTTGCTTGCTATGAATCCCAAAAGTAGAAAGTTTCCCTTCTGATTCCCACTGATTTCAGTTTTGCTAAGGATGCTTGATACCACACTTAGTTAAATGCAACCTTGATGTTACAGGCAGTCAGTCTCCCCTCACTTCCGGAATTCAGATCTTTTGTCCATGTTTGAATCAAGGCTGTAGTGAGGTCAGGAGGTGAGTGGCCCTGACAGAACCCAGACTGAGTGTCAGTGAGCGGGTTTTGTTAAGAACATAAGAACTAGGAGCAGGAGTAGGCCGTCCGGCCCTTCGAGCCTGCTCCGCCATTCAATAAGATCATGGCTGATCTTTTTGTGGACTCAGATCCACTTACCCACGTTCTCGCCGTATCCCTTAATTCCTTTATTGTTCAAAAAAAATCTACCTTATCTTTAAAAACGTTTACTGATTAGCGTCAACTACTTCACTGGGCAAGGAATTCCATAGATTAACAACCCTCTGGGTGAAGAAGTTCCTTCTCAGTTCAGTCCTAAATCTGCTCCCTCTAATCTTGAAGCTATGCCCTCTTGTACTAGCTTTACCTGCCAGTGGAAACTTCCTCTCTACTTCTATCTTATCTATTCCCTTCATAATTTTATATGTTTCTATAAGATTCCCCCCTCAATCTTCTGAATTCCAATGAATATAATCCCAATCTACTGAGTCTCTCCTCATAAACCAACCCCCTCAACTCCGGAATCAACCTAGTGAACCTCCTTTGCACCCCGTCCAGTGCCAGTACATCTTTCTCAAGTAAGGAGACCAAAACTGCACACAGTACTCCAGGTACGGCCTCACCAGCACCTTGTACAGCTGCAACATAACCTCTCTGCTTTTAATCTCAATCCCTTTAGCAATGAAGGACAAAATTCCATTTGCCTTCCTAATTACTTGTTGTACCTGCAAACCTACCTTCTGTGATTCATGCACAAGGACACCCAGGTCCCTCTGCATAGCAGCATGCTGCAACTTTTTACCATTCAAGTAATAATCCTTTTTACTATTACTCCTACCAAAATATATGACTTCACATTTATTTACATTGTATTCCATCTGCCAGACCTTTGCCCACTCACTCCATGTATCTATGTTCCTCTGCAAAGTTTCACAGTCCTCTGCACACTTTGCTCTGCCACTCATCTTAGTGTCATCTGCAAACTTTGACACCCTACACGTGGTCCCCAACTCCAAATCATCTATATAAATTGTAAATAATTGCGGTCCCAACATCGATCCCTGAGGCACACCACTAGTCACTGACTGCCAGCTAGAATAGCACTCATTTATCCCCACTCTTTGCTTCCTGTTAGTCAACCAATCCTCTATCCATGCTAATACTTTACCCTTAACGCCATGCATCCTTATCTTATGCAGTAGCCTCTTGTGCGGCACCTTGTCAAAGGCCTTTTGGAAATCTAGGTACACCACATCCACTGGGTCCCCATTGTCCACCTCGCTCGTAATGTCTTCATAGAATTCCAAAAGATTTGTCAAGCATGACCTGCCCTTCATGAACCCATGCTGCGTCTGCCCAATGGGACAATTTCTACCAAGATGCTATTTCTTCCTTGATAATAGACTTAAGCAACTGCTGCTTGACAGACAAATGGTTTCATCGGTAAGAAGATCAAGGGTTATAGCGAAAAGGCAGCAAAGTGGAGCTGACGATTCTAGCTGAAGATTGTAGCAAATTTTTCAGCCTTGTCTCTTGTACGATGCGCTGGTCTCTTCCTGAGGATGGAGTTGCTTGTGGAGCTTCCTCATCCAGTGAGTTGTTTAGTTGTTCACTATCATTCGTGACTGGATGTGACAGCACTGCAGAACTTCGATATGAACTGTTGGTTGTGAGTCACTTAGTGCTGACTGTCAAGTGGTATGCAAGTAGTCCTATGCTATAGCTTCATCACTGGTGCCGCATTTTTGTTTGAATGATGCTGTTCCCTGCATGCCATCCTGCGCACACTGTTGAAACAGGATTGACCCCTGCCATGATGGCAATGGTAGATTGGGGGGATGTGCTGAGTGCAATCCTGCCACTGATGACGATGGCCCACAGTCCCTCATTGGATGCCCAGTTGTGAGTAGTTTTCTGTTCAAAATCTATCCCATTAAGCATGGTGGCAGTGCCACATAGCATGATGGAGGGTAGCCTCGAGTGAAGACCGGGCTTCACCAAGGATTGTACCGTGGCTACTTGTACTATTACTTTCGTGGGCAGTAGCATCAGTATCAGGCTGAGAATCCTTAAGGGTGAAAAGGAATATCTGATCTTTCTCAACATTTTTGTTGCACCGACCATATCAGTGAAACGCGTAACTATCTACTAATAAGCAGCACTTCATTTCTTGTTATCTATGAGATTCTGTAGTTAGACATGGAAATGATTCGCCTATACCAGAGCAGATCCAGCAATCCCTGTAGTTCCCTATATGAAGAAGAGTAGGGGAGCACCAATCTTCATCTATAGCAGCTCACACAGAGTAGTCAGTTGACATGCATAGGTTGCCATCTCTGGAATTTTCCAAAGAATTGATAGCAAAATATCTTCAACCAATACAGGAGTGATGGAAATATGCCATCCTGTCAGAAATACAGCTATATTTTCCAATTATGTCTTGATTACCTTCTTGGGTATAGGTGGATGGTGTATGCTGGTAAGGGGAAATGCTTAATTATTGAGGGACTGCAAAACTATTTCCAAAATGTTCAAAAATGTAAGCTCCCTTCAGTTTGGAGTCACTCTTCATAACTTTTCTCTCTCTTCAGCCCAATCTAGTGATATAACTTCTAGCAGCAAGTGGCAACAATGAAGGAGGCCAACTGGAACAGTTAAATAGATTCTCTTTGGGTAAAAAAAAGTGTCTGTCTTTGGGGGAAGGAGGGCCTTCCATGTGTTCCAAGTGTCATGTTACAAAAAACAATACTTACAAGACTCAAACGAAGTGTTCAGAATCTTAATATTCTTTGGATTCCACACTTGAACAAAGATAGAGGAGTTGAAGAAAAAAACTCCATGTTTAATCTTACAAGGTCCCAGTGGATCAAAGAAATCCAATCCTACAGTTTGAATATTAAGCTAGATACATACATTAAATATTTCTGTGGTCTTCTTGCAGTGGGGAAGTCCAAGACAAAGGGATTGTGCATGCTGTTGAATCTGTTATTATTGCTTGGAGCCACCAGATCAATGAGGTGCTAAAAAAGGACTCTTCTGAACCCCTGCTGAAAGGCTGCAATCCCAACCCAAATGTGGAGCTGGAGTTCTGGAAAAACAGGTAATGCTGCTTCAAAATGGATTGCAGTTAAATACCATTACATGGGCCACTTTATATTTTTTCCTCTCTTTGTTTATTTTGCTGTATTTTTGAATGGTTATCATCATTGCCGGAAAGTGGTGATTATGTTTTTTTTTTTTTGCTCACAAAAATAATACAATCAAGTCACATTTTATCATTTTATTCTTTGATTCCTGGGCTATCAGCATCACTGGCAAGGTCAAAGTTGATTTCCCCATCTTTAATTCATTGCGAAATGACAATGGTGAGTCACCTTGAAAGCAACTACATGGCTTGCTTGGCTATTTCTGAGTCAATCACATTACTGTGGGCCTAGATTCATATCCAGGCCAGATCTTGTACGAATGGCAGATTTTCCCCCCTAAGCTATATAGTGAACCAGCTGTGTTTTTGCAACAAGTCAGTCGTTCAACAGCTTCCATTACTGACATTAACCTGTTGTATAATGACCATGATGCTACAGTACCTTTTGTAAATCATTGTGATAGATTGTGATAAGTTGTGATGCACAGGTCTTCTGCTTCCCAGCAAACCTAAGTTATAACTGTATTTTTACATGAGAATGGTGTCCCAAGTGGCTCTCCCATTGACAATCACTTTATCCAGTCGGACCTGAGACACGTAAATCAGCAAAGCCCTGATTCGATCAATAGTTTTTGCTGCAGTGCTTACAGCTGGAGCGCAACAATTAATGTCTGTTCAGTGGCTTCAGTATTCCTGATTGAGGAAAAGGATACCAGTTTATGTATCCGCTGCTGATTACTATTAAATATTCTACATTTTAGAAGTTTGTGAGGACCCCAAAACTTTTTCTGTTCTGTAGTAACAGCATTGGCTCATTTTGTTGAGCTGATGGTGTCACTCCAACGGTCTATTCTTAGAGAGTACCGCACAGTGAGGGGATTGAAAACCATCATGGAAAAATGTATGGATTGCACTTTCCCATCGATAATTGTGACATTCAAACTTGAGAATTTTCCAGTAATTTTTTGAAACATTCATTCATTCATGGGATGAGGGTGTCACTGGCTAGGCCAGCATTTATTGCACGGAGAGAAGTTAAGAGTCAACCACATTGCTGTGAGTCTGGAGTCACGTGACCAGAACATTACCTGGGTCTCTGGATTAACAGTCCAGTGATAATACCACTAGGCCATCACCTCCCCACTTAACTATAAGGGAGACTTGAAGATAACTGAATCCAAGCTGAACGTTGCTCTCATTATAGAGTCTAAATACTGCATTTGTGATATTTCATTTGTGTTGGGAACCTAACACAATAAACAACAGTGCACTTCAATTTAATTTTATTTAGTTTGACCATCCATGATGTCCCAATGATTGTGAATATCTGGGATCAGATTACTATGCATGCCTTGCAATGAAACTTCATGTATTTAAAGCATTTTTCTCTCTCTTCCTCGTCTCCCTTTTTCCATGTCATCCAACAGAGTGATCCTTAATCTCTAACTTTGTCCTTCTGGACAAGCAAGGCCCATACATCGCTTTACTGATCTGTGTGTGTGGTGGCATGACCAAGAAGAATGAATTGGTGGTGGACGCTATTTGAGCCTGTGTCTCAAGGCTGCCATGTATTGTTCAGTCAATTCCACCTGAGCTCCATGTCATCAGATTGCAAAAAGAAAAGGCTTCATTAGAAGACGTGCATCCTTTTCACCCTAGGATTTATTTGGAGCTGTGTACCTGTACTCCCATTCCTTCCATGGAGCCCATGTGTGTTATTTATTGTGAACTCCTCCTGGCCTGATAAGTTAATGATGTACAGTGTGAAGCCTCATTGCTAAGGAGCTACCACTTGTCGTTCTTTAATGCAGCTCACGCACGTGGTGAAACCTACCATTCTTCGACATTTTGGTCGTGTCAATTTCAGTCTGAGGCAATATTTTCCAAGAAGAAATGAACAAAATTGAACGTTTGTGAGAAATGGAAAGCTCTCTTTTTGTGTTCGTTGATGAGAGTGAGGAATTGAGCAGCAAACGTTGCTTTGAGAGAAACACTGTCCTATTCCCATTCTATGTTGGCCAAGTAGTCAGATCAAAAAGAAAGCAAGTTTAGTTTCCCCAGGTTATGGGAGGAAAAGCCAAGCTTCAGCTCCCTATTGTGCCAGTCCAATGGGTGGGGTGGGGTGGTGGTGAGATGAGATTCATAGTGCCATACAGCACAGAAACAGACCCTTCAGTCCAGGCCAACCATAATCCCAAACTAAACAAGAACCACCTGCCTGCACTTGGCCCAAATCCCTCTAAGCCTTTCCTATTCATGAACTTATCCAAATGTCTTTCAAACATTGTAACTGTACCCATGTCCACCACTTCCTTTAGAAGTTTATTCCACACATTCACCACTCTGTGTTTAAAAAAAAAAAAAAAAGTCACCCCTCCTAACCTTTCTCCTCTCACTTTAAAAATATCCACCCTAGTCTTGAAATCTCCCACCCTAGGGAAAAGACACCTGCCATTCACCTTATTTATACTCTTCATTTTATAAACCGATATGAGGTCACCCCTCAACCTCCTACACTCCAGTGAAAAAAGTCCCAGCCTATCCAGCCTCTCCCTATAACTCAAACCATCCATTCCCAGCAACACCCAACAGGACAACCAGAATTGGACACAGTATTCCAGAAGAGGCCTCACCAACATCCTGTACTACCTCAACATGACACCCCAACTCCTATATTCAAAGCTGTGAGCAATGAAATCCCAGACTGACATGTGATACCATCTGCAGTCAAATAGCTGGTGGATACCCAACCAGCATCTCTATAAGCATAGCCAAAATCTCTTTGGGAAAAAGGTGACACCATTACTGAAAGTCAGAATATAAAAATATTTATCAGATGTTTCTCTCGAAGATTCACAAGAGGAAAACCCTGTCGGGAATGATAAAGGAAAGTTAATGCTAGTTCTTTCCAATCCTTGCTTAAAATTCCTGTCTTTAGTTTCAGGAGATATGAAGCATGGTGTAGTGTAAGTGGTTTTTCATAGAATCCCTACAGTGTGGAAACGGGCCCTTTGGCCCAACAAGTCCACACCGACTCTCCAAAGAGCATCCCACCCAGGCCCATCCCCCAACCCCTTCCCTGTAACCCTGCATTTCCCATGGCTAACACACCTAACCTACACATCCCTGAACACTATGGACATTTTAGCATGGCCAATCCACCTAGCCTGCACATCTTTGGACTGTGGGAGGAAACCGGAGCACCCGGAGGAAACCCACACAGACACGGAGAGAATGTGCAAACTCCGCACAGACAGTCGCCTTAGGGCTGGAATCGAAGCCAGGTTCCCTGGTGTTGTGAGGGAGCGGTGCTAACCACTGAGCCACCATGTTTTGAGATGAATTGCTAGAACTGTACAGCCAGGGTGTATTGCTAATGCATCCAACAGGCTCGGAAGCTAAATGGCATTCTCCTGTACCTGTGTTCCTATTTGCTAAAGATTTTTGTTTTCCTTTATTATTTCACCTTGCCTCAGGTGCAGCAACCTGGAATGTATTTATGATCAACTGAAGTCTAAGAAGGTGCACTTGATGGTGGAGTTACTGAAGAGGATGGAGAGCAGCTACTTCCCAGTGTTCAAAACCATGTTCAGTGACGTTGTTGCAGGTTAGCCCTCAGGCGCGAGAGACAATTAAAGTTTCCTCTGAAATCTCTGATCGTGTCGTTGCAATTGAAAATAAACTTTTATTTTGAGTTTTCTTTGATACATTATTATGTCGGCATCGAAAATCAGGTAAATGTTTATTTACGAAACTGTTGCATTGAACTAGGAAGAAAATACTGAAAGCACTCAGCAAGTCAGATAGCTTCTGTGAAGAGAGAGGCAGTATTGACTGTTCTTTGGACTCATATTGGGCAGGACCTTTAGACACTGATGGGACTGAGTGTGGTGGTGTGAAGGTTTTTCCAAGCCATTCAACATCTGGCCATTTTCCTCCAAGCCCACCTGAGGCTTAGAGGACTGGCTGTAGCTTATCTTCCACTGACAGACCAGGGGGAGTCGGTGTTTCAGCAAGACTCAGATCCTCCCTGTTTGCCAGGCTGGCCAGTGGATTAGTTCCCTAATCATGCCATAGTGACCTGGCTGCTGAAGACATTTCTCAGTTTCGAAGCTTAAGAAGCTTTTAAGAGGCATTTCAATGCGGGGGTGCCTCTTTCTGACTTGGTGTATTGGAGGGCCTACTACTGACTGAGACTGGGACTGGAAGAAGGACCCTTCTGAGGAAGGGTCACCGGACCTGAAACGTTAACTCTGTTTTCTCCTTCACAGATGCTGCCAGACCTGCTGAGCTTTTCCAGCAACTTTGTTTTTGTTCCTGGGACTGGAAGAGTGGACTTGTGTGGGAAGGGCTGTGATGGTGGGAGATAAAAAGCAGTTCAGAGAGATCCTTTGGTCCACTTCTACCAGTTGGAATTGAAGTGTGATGTTACAGGAAAGCAGGGAGGTGATTGCTAGGTATTTCTTCTGTGTCTCTTTTTCAGTCTGATTTAGTGGTGTAAATCAGGAGATGTTATTCCAGATGAAGACTTCAGTTAGGAAATTTGTTTCTAAAATACTTGAAATCCAAATTAATTGAGTGGAATAGAAATGGCTTGCAGCTTTAGTGTGTGGGAGCTGGTGGATGCTGGTGCAACCCACAGTGAACACATCTACAGCAAGTGTTGGCTACTCCGGAACATTGGCTCAGTGTTGATGAGCTGCAGATGCTGCAATGCATCAGGAAGGGGTACCTGATCACTTTATTTCAGGTTTTGCAGTTCTGTGAAGAGTCGAACTCTAAGAGTTAACGCTGTTTGCCCGTCCACAGATGCTACTGGACCTGCTGAGTTTGACCAGCATTCCCTGTGCTTGTTTCCGCTTTCCAGCATCTGCAGTGTTGTGCCTTTATATTACAATTTTTTGGGAGACTGTCATACCCCTTAAATTAATTACATCAAATCGGCTCTGTGGTCAGGCACAGGAGGCTGTGACTGTGAGGTTCTTGCTCCCAGTGTGAATGAGGGCACAAACTGCATGGAGAATGAACAAACTGATTGCAGCACCATGGTCCAGAGCATCATTCAAGTTGGGGGCAAAAAATAAAATGTCATATTAATTTGGGTTAGCACAGTTTGGGAAATTGATACAGTTCTCTGTAGCAAAGACAGGGAGCCTCAAAGGCTGTGTTCCCTACCTTGTGCAAAAGTTAAATACATCGGCACGGTGGCTCGGTGGTTAGCACTGCTGCCTCACAGCACCAGGGACCTGGGTTCGATTCCACCCTCGGATGACTGTCTGTGTGGAGCTTGCAGGTTCTCCCCGTGTCTGCGTGGGTTTCCTCTGGGTGCTCCGGTTTCCTCCCACAGTCCAAAGATGTGCAGGTTAGGTGGATTGGCCGTGCTAAATTGCCCATAGTGTTCATGGATGTGTAGATTAGGGGGATGGGTCTGGGTGGGTTGCTCTGTGTGTTGGTGTGGACTTGTTGGGCGGAAGTGCCCGTTTTCACACCGTAGGGATTCTATATTTTAAAAAAAAAAAAAAAAAAATCTCTTCTGGGCTGGAGAGGAAGTTAGAGTGTGGTGGGAAGGATGCAATTGTCGTGGATCATGTAGATACCAACAAAATAGGTAGGACTAGGAAAGGGGTTCTGCTAAGGGATTGCGAACAGCTCAGGGCTAAATTAGAAAAAACAGAACCACAAAGATGATCTCAGGATTGCTACCTGAACCATGCAAAAATTGACGTAGGGTAAATAAAATGAGAGTGGTAATCGTGTGGATCTAAGATTCAGGTGGGAGAAATGGCTTCCGATTTGTGGGATACTGGTGCCAACTGTTGAGCAAGAGAGAGCTGTTCTGTTGGAATGAGCTTCATTTAAACCATGCTGAGACCAGTGTCCTAGTGAATTGTATAACTAAGGTTATAGATAGGGCTTCAAACTAATGAGGGGGGAAGTAGGGCTCAATTGATAGAAGGTTTAACAAATCAGAAAGAAATAAGATATCAGAGATACAGAGTAGTGAAGAGGTGAATGAAAATCCAAGTCTGGCAGGAAGGGGCAAAAAATGTAAGTAGAAGAGTGCAGCAGAAATCAGAATCAGAATAAGTAATAACAAGGAAAATCAAAGCGTAAAGTCCTTTAGTGAATGCATAGAGCATTTGTAACATGATAGAATACATGCAGGCACAAATAAAAATAAATGAAAAGGAGGTGACAGCTGTTCCTGAGAACTGGTTACAGGTTGATCAGGACTGGAGGAGAATCAATATTTAAGGGTATTTTAAAGTTTCGGAAAAATAAGAGTCATACAGCATATGACTTGATGACTAAGAGGTGTATTGATCTAGTGGTGAGTTGTGACAAGGGTTCAATAGCTTGTGATGTGGAATCAGTTTGGTGGAAATAAGGAATAGCAAGGGAAAGAAGTCAGGGGTGTGAGTTGCCGATAGGCCCTTGAAAAATTGCATCACTGTATGATAAAGTATAAATTGGGAATTATTAACACAGGTGAGAAGGGCATTGCAAGTGTTACAGGTGATTTTTAATCTGGATTTTGACTGGACAAATTGGGTGGACAATGGTAACATGGAAAATAGATTTTTGGAGTGTATTGAAGATTGCTTCCTAGACCTACATGAGAACAGGCTATTGCTGGCCTAGTAATGTGAATCTAGTAATGTATAATGAGGTAGGAATAATAAGAGATCTTGGAGGGGATAGTGATGATGCCATGATAGAATTTCAAATTCAGTTTGAGGGAGAGCAACTCGTGTCTTAAATCAATGTCCTCAACTTAAATAGGTGCAGTTACAGAGTATGAAGGAAGGGTGGCACAGTGGCTCAATGGTTAGCACTGCTGCCTCACAGTGCCAGGGACCCGGTTTCAATTCCACCCTTGGGCGACTGGCTGTGTGGAGTTTGCATGTTCTCCCTGTGTCTGCGTGGGTTTCCTCTGAGTGCTCCAGTTTCCTCCCACAGTCCAAAGATGTGCAGGCTAGGTGGATTGGCCATGCTAAATTGCCCATAGTGCCCAGGGATGTTTAGGTTAGGTGGGTTAGACATGGGAAAATGCAGTGGTAGGGGAATGGATCTGGGTGGGATGCTCTTTGGAGGGGCAGTGTGGACTCGTTGGGCCAAATATCCTGTTTCTACTCTGTAGGGATTGTATGATTCTATGAATTGTTTAAAACAGGCTGGGAAAATAAACTGAGGAGATGAGCAGTGACAGCAATTTCAGCAGATATTTCATATTTATTCCAGTCAAAAAAAAGCCTCTAAGAGGGATGAACCACCCAATAGAGAAAGTATTGAATCAAAAACTAAGGCAGTATGTAGTGGCAAAAAACTAATGACAGGTCAGAGGATTTGGGACTTTGGTGAGGAACCAGCTGTGGATGACTAAAAAGCTTATAAAGGGGAGAAAACTGATTATAAAAGTAAATTGGCAAGATATATTTTTAAAAAAGTGCAATCTTCTATGGGTATAGGGGCACAGTTATTTACAACTGAAATATGAAGGAATTTCTTCTCTAAGGGTACTGAATGTTTGGAAGTCTCTTCCTCCAGAGAATTGTGGAGGCTAGGACACTGAAAGTATTTAAAGTGGAAGAAGATAAATTCTTTTTGGAATTTTGAGGGCTATGAGGAGTTGGCAAGAAAAAGGAAGCCTGGCACAGATCAGATATAATGCTACGGAATGGAGGAGTAGGCTCAAGTGGCTGAATGGCCTACTTTTGCTCCAATTTATTCTGTTCTTGTGTAAGGTGACTGTCCAGCTTTGAGACCCCAGTTACTATTTGCAATTCCAAGGTGAGCCTGCCTCTGACCACTGATGAGTCAATTGAGGAATAGTCACTGCTGGGTAACTGCTCCACCCATTGTGAGGGAATGTCAGGGTCTAAAGGGTGATCCTTGTGCAGCCACTCTGTTTCCTTCTCCATAAATGCTTTCTAACCTGAGTGTTTTCAGATTTTTGTTTTCAGACTTGCACCATCTGCAATATTTTAGTTTTGTTTCAAAGATCTGTCCTTTGGGGAATATATGTACTACGGCTCTCAAAGTCTATGGCTAAAATCTGCTAAAGCCCAGAAAGTTAAATGAGCAAATTATGACTGTTGCATAGTCCATTGATTTTGTCCTTCCATTTGCTTTCTTTTAGTTCCTCGGTGTATGTACAACTCTCTTATCTCTTGCTCTATCTTCATCAATCTCACGGCTCTGGGATTTGTAAGAATTTTCTCAGTTGACGCAGCACTACACCAGACTGCAATGGGAATAAAATCTGTCCCTTTAAAGTCAAAGCCTTGTTGTGTTAATGATGTGACGTTAAAATTGCTGTGAAGGCTGAGATAGCTCTGCCTTGAAATGTTCTCCTATTTCTGCCTCACTGCAACAAGACGAAGCAAATGTAAAGCTGGAAGTCACCAGTAGAATGCTCACCCAAAAGAGGTCACTAATCCCAGTGGAAGAGGGACAGGCTGTGACATCCCATGTTGATTTGCTAAATACTTGAGCATTTGTAAGCCGATTCAGCCCAACCTAGGCAACAGTTGTATGTCGCTAAACCGTTTTGTGTAATAAAGAGGAGGTTTTATTTTGTCTAATTTTGTTTTTCAATCTGCCGCCAGCTCTGACTGAGGCGAGGGATATTAATCTGCACTTGAAGCCACTCCAGCGCTATTTTGAGGATATTGAGAATGTGGAGTTCAATGAGGTGAAGCCCCTAATTAGCTGCCTCATGCACTTGGTGTGTCTAATCTGGGCTAGATCCAAATATTACAACACTCCAGCACGTATCATTGTCCTTCTACAGGAGAGCTGCAACCTCCTCATTCAACAGGTATGATGGCTAAAACTGCTCTGTGAAGTACAACATGAAATTTTGCGCTGTGAACTCGTTCTGTTTTCATTGACCACTGGCTACATCCACTTTGATCCATGTGGGTTCTTTGGTTACCATTTGCTGGGGAATGCCAGCACTTGCAAGCTCCCCTCCACACCACCCTGACTTGGGATTGTATTACTATTCCTTCACTGTTCACAAGATCCTGGAGTCCTACCTTAATGGCATTGTGGGTCTACCTACAGCACATGGATTGCAGCTGTTCAAGAAGGCAGCTCATAGCCCCTTCTCAAAGGCAACTAGGGAGAAACAATATGTTCTGGCCCACCCAGCAACACCCATGCCCCACGAGCAAACAAAAGCAAAATGCAAAGTGACAGTCTTTCACATGCAAACTCTGGCTCAATCGACAGCAGAGAAACAGAGTATTGGTTGTTATAATCCTACCGTCTTTGGGAGTTTGCTTTGTCAAAAGTGGTTGTTCACAGTAAATTTCCTGCATTAAAAAAGGCACTGCACTTCAAAAAGTGCATTGAGATGTTCTGAGGTCATGAAAGATGCTGGCATAAATATGTGTCTTTCTTTCTGTTAAACAGTCAAAATGCTAAACTTAGACTTGCAAAATTTTGTGAGTAATTTGATCCTTAATGTTGCCATATTGTCAGCTTGTTCTAGGTCCCTTACAATCCGAAACCGGGAAAGCTATAATGGGAAACAAAGAGACGGCAGACCAATTCAATGCATATTTTGGTTCTGTCTTCACAAAAGAGAACACAAATAATGCCCCAGAAATGTTGGAGAACACAAGGTCTACTGAGAGGAAGGAACTGAAGGAAATAAGTGGGGAATGGTATTGGGGAAATTGATGGGATTTAAGGTTTGGCAAATCCCCAGGGCCTGATAATCTACAGCCCAGAGTACTTAAGGAAGTGGCCCTACAAATAATAGATGCATTAGTGAACATCTTTCAAGATTCCATATCCTCTGGAACAGCTCCTGTGGATTGGTGGATAACTACTATAACTCCACTAGTTTGAAAAAGGATGTAGAGACAGCAGGGATTGATAGTCTGGTTAGCCTGACCTCAGTGTAAGAGAAAATTCCAGAGTCCACTCTAAAAGATTTAATAGCAGGGCCCTTGGAAAGTAGTGACAGGATTGGATAGAATCAGCATGGATTTACAACAGGGAAATCATGGTTTACAAATCTACTGAAATTTTTAATGTATCTAGTAGAGTTGATTTGAGGGAAACCGTACTTGTGGTTCACTTGGACTTTCAGAAGACGTTTGATAAAATCCGAAATAGGAGGCTATCATGTAAAGTTAAAGCACATTGGATTGAGAGGTAGTGTATTGAAATGGATTGAGAACTGGTGGGTAGGCAGGAAACAAAGAATAGGAAGAAAAGGATCATTTTCTGAGTGACAGCCAGTGATTAATACAGTACCACAGGGATCAGTGCTTTGACCCCAGCTATCCACAATATATATGAATGATTTAGATGAGGGAACTAAATGTAATATCTCCAAGTTTGCAGATGACACACAGCTGGGTAGGAGGGTGAGCTGTGAGGAGGATGCAGAGATGCTTCGGTGTGATTTGCACAGGTTGAGAGTGTGGGCAAAAGTATGGCAGATGAAGTAGAATGTGGGTTATCAACTTTGGTAGCAAAAACAGGAAGGCAGTTTATTATCAGAATGGTGATAGCTTGGAAAAGGGAGAGGTGCACTGAGGCCTGGGTGTACTTGTACACCAGTCAGTGAAAGTAAGCATGCGAGTGCAGCAGCTAATGAAGAAGGCACATGATATGTTAGCCTTCATAGCGAGAGGATTTGAATACAGGAGTAGGGATTTCTTGCTGCAATTATACAGGGTCTTGGTGAGATCACACCTGGAGTATTGTGTGCAGTTTTGGTCTCCTTACCTGAGGAAGGATGCTCTGGTTTTAGAGGGAGTGTAACGAAGGTTTGTCAGACTTATGCCTGCAATAGCAGAGGCTGATGTATGAAGAGAAACTGCAACGGTTAGGAGTATGTTCACTGGAGTTTAGAAGAATGAAACCTATAAATTTCTAACTGGACTAGATGGGGTAAATTCAGAAAACATGTTCCTGATGACTGGGGAGCCCCGAACCAGAGGTCACCATCTAAGGAAATGGGGTAGGCCGCTTTTGACTGAGATGAGGAAATATTTCTTTATCCAGAGAATGGTAAGCCTGTGGAGATTCTCTGCCACAGGAAGCTGTGGAGAACAAAACATCGCATTTTTTCAAGAAGGAGTTAGATATAGTTCTTACACTGAATGTCTTCATCAGAAGTTAGGTATTCTTGGGGCAAAAGGCTTCAAAGGGTAGGGGGAGGCATTGGGGAACATGGTACTGAATTGGATGATCGGCCACGATCATGTGGAATTTAGGAGCAGGCTCAAATGGCCGAATGGCCTACTCCAGCTCCAATTTTCTATGTTTCATGACAGGCTGGTGTTCATACTTGCCTGTGACTCCGTAGCTCCATTCAATGTTCTGCCAGTATCCTTGCTGTAAAATGGTGCCACCTGAAACTGGCACTCCATTCTGACTTTTGCCCCTCGTTGACCTCTGGTGATCTCTTTGACATAGCTGATAGCCGGTCTTCAGGGAATGCTGCTAAAATTGCTAACTGAGCCACTGGTTTTCACAAGTCATGAGATTGAACGTTAATGTTGTGAAGTACAGCATCCCTGGGGTCCTGACCATTCAGTAAATCCACCAGAATCACTTTGAGATCAATATGTGACTGCAGCATTCTTGAGAGCTGTCCCTTCATCATTGAATGTGTGCCATTTCTCATGTTGCAGTCTCGTACTTATCTCAATCCAGAAGACGTTTTGAAAGGCGAGGTTGAGGAAAGCTTGAGCAAAGTACAGGAGGCTGTTGAGATCTTGTGCCTATTCAAGCAAATTTATGAAGAAAAGCGAGGAAATCTGCAAATGTACTACAAGCAAGGTGAAAACATGAAAGAGTGGGACTTTAATTCTCTCCTGATCTTCACCCGATTGAATTGCTTTCTTGACAGACTTCAGCAGATTGAGGTGGGATTATAACCGTTGCTCATGATGTGCTTTAGAATCCAATATGAAAATAATTCTTCCAAATATATTGTTTGTTTCAGAAATCATCTTTGTCAATGTGGAGGTGATGTCTAAAATACATGTGTGATTTAAATGATCTGTTCTGCATAGAGTGTGTGTGCGCTTATACGTACGTACGTACGTACATGTGTACTGCCGAAAACACCAGGATGACCTGGGAGCCATAAGACATGGAGGGTGTGTCTCATTGGGTGAGGGGTTGTTTGTATTGCTACTCTGCACCTGGAACTCTCAATCTGGGCAGCACTATTGCAGTAACAGTCATGGCCAACTGCTCTGCAGATTTTCATAGCCTGTCCAGGTTTTGAGTGGACCTCAGAGTTGTTGTGAACTATAGTCAATGTGATGAATCCTTTTGAAAAGTGAGATCAGAAGGTCCGCCTTGCCCTCCTCCCTCCTTCAGCACCCAACCCACTCTATGAATGCCTGGGCTTTCAGTGAAGATGGCATAGGAGGCTTAGTTGCAAGTGTAGACATCCATTAGTCTGCTGAAACACCCAAGTCCAATAGACCGCATTGTTTGAGCTATGGCTCCATGATCTCTTATGTCAATTTCACAAAGTTTAGATGCACAACATTTAAATGCTGTCATTTCTTTTATCTAGACTTTAAAGGTCCAGCTAATTGACAATTCTATTGGGTTGGAGTAAAGGAATTTATTTCAAGACAGTGCAAAATAATAAATGACTTGTTGATTTAAAGCTTTTGCACTTCATGTCATTATGGGATTCAATCTTTGTATACAGAGTATGGTAGGTGAATGCGTGTGGAATTGCCATAGCCTGGCATGTGGGCCTTAGGGGCCACGGGGTCAGGTGGAGGGGCATGAGTGACATGGATGGAGGATGAGGAGTGTATCGGAAGTGAGGATGTGTGGAAGGTGAGCGATAGAGGTGTTCCTTTATTCATTGTATCCTATTCATTATAAAATAATAAAAAACATTTTCTGCTTTGAATATTCTGGAAGTAGAGAAAATTCCAAGTATTTGGCCATGCTTGAAGCCAATTCATTTTTATTGATGTCCTTTGATTCAGCACTTACAGTCCCATTCATCTCAGTTTTTCTTCTTAATAATTTAAAAATTTTCCTTTTCTCCAAAGGAAATAAGTTTTCAAAATCTGATGAAGAGTCTAAATGGACTCGATGTTAACACATTTCTCCAGACATACTGCCTGACCTGATCAGTTTTTCCAGCATTTTCTGTTTTTATTTCCGAATTTCAGCATCCTCAGTGTTTTACTTTCACTGAGATAGATGCACAACTTAGAATCTATCTTCACTACAAACATATGAATCAGGAGCAGGTGTCAGCTATTTGGCTCCTTGCACCTTCTCTTACATTTGATACGAGTTTAAATCTTCCAAACATTCTCAACATTACTGTTGTCAAAACAAGAGGAATGTGAAGGAGTGAAACGCTTTCACACTGTTTTTGACCGAATGGCCAGTACCAAGATTGACGGTGTGTATAGAGTCAGGGGCCCAACTTTTCAATTAGCAAGAAATTTTACTCCAGACCTCTGAATGAAGCTGAGAATTGGAGAGCTGCCACCATTTTTTTGGTATCAATGTAGAAAATATCTCCTTGCAATGTCGGTGCTTTACTACATAGTCATCTTTTGCTACACATCACTGTGCTTCTCAAATAGCCTGCCCAATCTGATTGGGATCGATACGTTCAAATGTGATCAGCAGTTAACCTTTAGTCTTTTCTTCATCTGTTGAGTTCAGCAGGAGCATCACGGTGGTAAATAGATATTTAGAGTTTCCGAACATTAAATGTGTGAGTATTTGTTCAGTTTAGAGGACATCTTCAACTAATGGGACCATTCCTGTCTGTTGCTGAACTGGTGTGGATTACTTATTGCTGTACGTGTTTCCATGCCATCTTTCTGCATGCATCTTGCCTTTCACTTCGTCATAGCCTCCACCTTAGATCGTTGATCGTTCACCCAGGCTTCTTAAGAACAGAGGAATGCATTTCAAATCAGACTTGTGAGCCATTTGAAGGAAAGAGTCAAAATTATGAAGCAAATGTTGCAAAATGATATGATCAGGACTAAAGTGAGTTTGAGCATTAGAAAGGTTCTGTTATACAAAAGGGAACTATGTTAACCACATTCTTAGAAGGACAGATACCTTCTCTTCAATTCCTTGCACTGGTGGCATTTACAGAGATTGTTTAACTGTAAAACTGACAGAGTGGTTATTCATTAAATAGTTTTTAGCTTTCTGCTTGTTATTAGGACTTTCTGGTGACAGCACAAGATATATTTAAGCTGGAAAAACTTGAATTTGGAGGGATCCGTGGCAAGATTCTGAGCCAGCAGGTGGCAAGAATTTATGAGGAATTCCAGGAGATGTATAAAACCTTTACAGACCATACTTATGACTGTTTGGATCCTGCTAACCAGGTAGGTGGGTACTTAGCATACATCTAGATTTTGAAGAACTTTATTTGTATTAGAGTCATAGGGTCATACGGCACGGAAACAGACCCTTCGCTCCAACTCCTCCATGCTGATCAAACGTCCCAATCTGACCAAACGTCCCAATCTGACCTAGTTGGACTTGCCAGCATTTGGCCCATATCCCTCTAAACCCTTCCTATTCATGTATCCATCCATATGCCTTTTAAATGGTGTAATTGTACCCACCTTCAGCACTTCCTCTGGCAGCTCATTCCATACACACCATCCTCTGTGTGAAAAAGTTGCCCCTCAGGTCTCTCTTAAGTCTTTCCCCTCTCACATTAAACTATGCCCTTTAGTTTTAGACTCCCCACCCTAGGAAAAAGACCTTGGCTGTTCACCCTATCTATGCCCCTCATGATTTTATAAACCTCTATAAGGTCGCCCCTCAGCCTCCGATGCTCCAGGGGAAAATGCCTATTCAGCCTCTCTCTATAACTCAAACCCTCCAGTCTTAGCAACATCTTGATAAATCTTTTCTGCACCCTCTCAAGTTTAACAACATCCTTCCTGTAGAAGAGCGACCAGAATTGTATGCAGTATTCCAAAAGTGACCTCCTCAATGTCCTGTACAGCTGCGACATAATGTCCCAACAATGTTCTGACCAATGAAGGCAAGTGTGCCAAATGCATTCTTCACCACCCTGCCTAGCTGTGACTCCACTTTCAAGGAACTATGCACCTGCACCCCTCGGTCTCTTTGTTTGGTAACACTCCCTCGGGACCTACTATTAAGTGTATAAGTCTTGCCCTGGTTTGCCTTACACACACCTCACGTTTATCTAAATTAAACTCCCGCCTGTCACTCCTCGGCCTGTATTACTACTTCATGCCGAGCTGTATATAAACCTGAGAAGAGAATGCATTGGATGTGATGGATCCTGAAAATGTTAATTTAGTGAGGCTATAAAATCACATTTATGTAAGATTGTTAACCTGCATGTGCATTTAATATGCCACACATTTGATGTGCATATCAGATGTAATACTTCATCGTGTCATCACTTTGGAAAAACAAAACAGAAAGCAAGTAATTTGTTCTTCATTTTCTAACTTTGATGTCTGGTTTCATTCTAAGGCCATGAGCTAGGTGCTCAAAAGCTCCTGCCATTTGGAGTGCTTTCTGTCCAAATTAGCTGTCTGTATTAATCTCTGTCTGCTTAAAAACTTCTCCACAAGGATTAGCTGAACACCAGTTTTGAAGAGACAGGCCATTGAATGATTTCTGTGGTGTGTGTGTGTTGACATGGGCAGAGTATGGAGCAGTTACAGAATTGGAGTTGGACAGTCACAGTGAGGATGCTAGTGATTGGAGGTTCATCCTGAGGCTAGATATGGGACCACTGTTCTGAGCTATCTGATTGTATCCACCCTCAGTGCAAAACAGAGGCTCAGTCATTGGCAAAGGAACAGAGGTTTTCACGGGACTACAAACAGTTCAGTATTAAAAACAAGTTGGCTAGGTTTGTTACAAAACCAACAAAACACTTTGTTCTGAACATAACTTACTTGAGCAAAGATATAAAGATGTTTGAAATACAAAATATTTACACTTTGCAAACATATACACCTACCCTTTTTGAAAAATATCGTCATATATACACGCTCACTTTCACACCATCACGCGTACACAGAGCCTGGGGAGAATGTATAACATTCAGCAATGTTATCTTAACTATTACTTGGTCAAAGTTCTTTTAAATTCACAGAAAATCTAATTCTTTATTCACCCTTTATTTCTCCCTAAGTGTTGCAGACTTGGTGTCTGCAGCAAAATGCCCTGTTCCTTGCAAATCCAACACTCCTTGTTGCTTATAGCTGGTGTATTTTGTTTAGCCAAGCTTTTTTTTTGCAAAAGTTTTGAGAAATACGTATTAGCCGCCAGTCAATTGTAATATATTTTGGATAGCACTCTTTGTAACAATGCAAAGGTGTATCATGCTTTAGCTTTGATAGTAGCTCATGTATCAATATCAATACCAGATCAGAGAGCAACTCTTGCCAGAGACTTATTTTTGATTTTAACCAAGAATTTTTTTCAGCCTCCAGTTTATTTCTATTGACCACTTTTTGTTTTCAGCTGATGGTTTCGGGTAAAGTCTGATGGCACCTTAACTGCATCTACTCAGGAGGAATGAGTGAAAATATTTGCACAGAAATTTGATATAATTTGTTTATAAATAATCTGTTTTCTTGATTGCTAGGAATTCGCAAAAGATTTTTCGTTATGGAAGCAGAAAATTGAGGACATAGACCGTCGGCTGGTAACTATTCTCGGTCAGGCTTTCGATGATGCATCTGCTTTGGATCATGCTTTCAAGGTCTGTTTTAGAGAGGATGGTGAAGAAGCTGATGGGACATATTTGGGTATATATTCACCTTTAGGAAAGCTTTGTTCATCAGGCAGAGTGAATGATGGGCTCCCAACTCATTATTGTTTGTTTTGAGCTTTTGCCTAGGCACATTTAAGCCCCATTGATAATAAAAGGAAATGGTGGGGTTTAAATAGGAACTTTGACACCCAGACTAATGCTTTAGGGGCATGAGTTGAAATCTCAGTACAGCAACTAGTGGAATTTAAGCTTAACTAATTGATAAACTCAATTGATATGATAGAAATCTGGAATATAAAGCTAATCTCCGTAATAATGACTATGAAAACATTGCTGATTGTCAGAAAAACCCATTTCATTCACTCATGTCCTTTAGGGAAAGAAATCTGCTGCTGTTACCTGGTCTGGCTTACATGTGACTCCAGACCCATAGCAATGTGTTTGTTTCTTAACTGTCCTTTAAAATGGCCTAAAAAGCCAATCAGTTCAAGGCTATGGGAGGTGGTCAATAAGTGCTGGTCTTGCCAGCGATGCCCACATCCCATAAGCACTGGAAATGTACTGTTTGTTTGCACAACCTACAGTCATTTGTTTTTTTTGTTGAATGAAGGATGAGCCTGACTTTAAAGGCTCCCCTTGAAGACCTAGCACCATTCTGAATCTGACTTGGTTCAGTTATTTAATGTTTGAAGCAGTGCACCTTATTTTCCTGGTTGCAATATCCAAATGGTACCCTTGCAGAGATGGCTTTGCTAGTCTTCATGATTGAGATATAGACCTGGTCACTGGCAAAAAATCCTTGCCTGCCTGAGATAAGTGAAGTAACACAGCATTGCTGGTTTGTTTCGAGATGAAGCTGACATAATTTCCACTTGAGCTCAGGTGTGATTCAGAATGGGCAACAAATTTCCGAAGTCTGTTTTTGATGTGAATGCCGAGTGTTTCCACTCAGGCTTTACCCGATTTACCCCTCAAATATTGTCAAAATTGTCAAACCCACCTCATGTATTTGTTAAGTATTAGTTTGCACATGACTATGCCTTTGTGCATAACTGCAGAGTGAACTTGAGGCCCTAGATGTTTTGTAGAGCTTGTAATCAGAACTCTCCACAATTCTGTGAGAAGTGTTCTATGGGAACACGATTATGTTGATTAAACCTGCTTAAAAGAGTTTACAGTGAAACAGAAATAATGAGGTTGTTGACTTTCTTGCCAAGCTGGCTTGTTTTTGTTCAGACGTTTTGTCACCATGCTAGGTGACATCAGTGGAGCTTCCGATGAAGCAATGTTGTTCTACTCCACTTGGAATTTATACTGTCTGGTCTGTTATGGTGAGTGGTGTCATTTCCGGTGTTGATCTGTATGTTACTAGCAATCTGTATACCACTAGGAATCATGGGGGCCCACAAGCCCACAACCACTCGACGACAAACACTTACAAGGATTAAAGACCCCATCCCCATAACATGCAGAACCAACATAGTTTACAAAATACCATGCAACGTCTGCCACAAACGTTACATCGGACAGACAGGAAGGAGACTAGCCATCAGAATACATGAACATCAACTAGCAGCAAAACGACATGACGAGCTTTCCTTAACATCAGTACACTCAGACAGTGAAAGCCATCAGTTTAACTGGCACAAGGTAATTATAGTAGCCCAAGCCAAACATAGACATGCTTGGAAATTCCTAGAGACGTGGTTCTCAATCCATAATACAATTAACAAACATATAGAATTGGACCCCATATACAAACCCATGCAGATCAAAACTGGAAATGATACTACTCACCATAACAGACCGGACAGTATAAATTCCAAACGGAGTGAGAACAACATCGCTTCATCGGAGGCTCCACTGATGATGTTATCTAGCATGGTGACGAAACGTCCGAATGAATACAAGCCAGCTCGAGGAACAAGTCAACAACCTCACTCACAACCCGAGCTACAAATCTTCGCTAAAACGTTAAGCAGGATTAATTGCTGCGTAACTCTCCTGAGGTACTGTTCTTCAAACCCAAACCTGACTTTCAGATATTTCAGTACACTTTCTGTTTCTTTAAGATTGATTTTCTTGTCTTCATCTTATCCTGCCATTGCAGTTAACTTGAGTGCTTTTTTTTGGTAAAGTCCATTTCACAGATGTGGACCAAGTTAATATTTTTTTTGCTCATCCCTAATTGCCCCATCAGAAGGTGGTTGTGGAGCTGCCACCTTGAACTGTTGCTCTCCATATGATATAGGTTCCTGTGGTACTGTCAGGGAGCTCAATTGACAGCAAAGGATTGGCCAAGTCAGGATGGTGTTTAGCTTGGAGGGGAGCCTACAGGTGGTGGTGTTCCTATGCCTCTGCTGCCCTTGTCCTTCTAGGTTTAGAGGCTATGGGTTTGGAAGGTGCTATCAAAGGAGGCTTGGTGAGTTGCTGCAGTATATCTCATAAGAACAAAGAATGAAAGAGAAGTAAGGCACAGGATCAGGCCCTTTGGGCCTCCAAGCCTGTGCCGATCATCATGCCCTAGCTAATCTAAAAAACAAACCTTCTGCCCTTATTCAGTCTGTATCCCTCTATTCCCTCCCTATTCATGTAACCATCCAGGTGCCTCTTAAATGTCACCAATGTGCCCGCTTCCACCACCTCTTCTGGTAGTGCATTCCAGGCTCCTACCACTCTGTGTGGAAAAACCTCCCTCACACATTTCCCTTAAACTTTTCCCCCTCTCACCTTGAACCTGTGCCCCGAGTGCTGCCACTGTGGACAGACTGAGTGTTGAAGGTGTTAGATGCAATGCAAATCAAATGGGTTGCCTTGTCCTGGATGGTGTCGAGCTTTGTGAGTGTTGTTGAAACTACGTTCACACAGGCAAGTGAAGAGTGTTCCATCACATTCCTGACTTCCAGCTTATGGACAGGCTATGGCGAGTCAGCAAGTGAGTGACGTCCTGCAGAATTCCCCACCTCTGACCAATGCGTGTAATTGCAGTATTTGTATATGGCTGGTCCAGTTTACTTTCTGGCCAGTGATAAACTCCAAACTGTTGGAAGTGGGGGGTCGGCTTGGTCACATTGATGAGAAGTCACAGTCTTTATTGAAGCAGGCTCATTGCTACATTCATTCAGCAGTTTAGACATTTGAGTAATTTATCATGAAAATAATTTCATGTTTCTCGATTAAATATTCATCTGGCTTCTGTAATGTTTCCTTTCTCTCTTTAGTTACTGGATATGTTTGGCAGCCTCCTCGAGAGGCCTCTAATAGCAGCGGACGCATCTGACAAATACCCTCGCCTCATTGTCATGTACACGAAAGAACTGGATGATGTTAAGCACATTTATAACAGGCAGATGGAGAAAACGGCGGAGTTTGGTATGGATTCGTTTTAATGAATGTTGCTGATGGAAAAGCACATGCATAATGTTGCCATGAAAGTATGTTGGGGCTACAACTTAAAAGACATTTTTCTCTCTCTTAAACATTTAGTTTAAGATCTCTTTTCCCATGGTGGTTCTCCCGCTATGCTGTGTACACATTCCTGTCCAGGCTGGTTCTGCTGTCTGTCCCAAACCTCCTCTTCTGCATATGTTAATCAAGATACTCTGGAGCTAAGTGATAGAGGCTGTACATAACGTTCTGAAAAATTTATGCTTCCCAAGTGTGATAACACGTTTAGCCATCAGCTCTTATGTCACCCATGGGAAATACAGCGAATGTTCAAATTTGTCTTGGGGAGTTTGAATTTATTTGTTCATTCTTTGAATGTGGACACTGCTGGGAAGGCTAGCAATTCACCCTTTCCCTTGGGGAGCTGGTGTGTGCTGCCTTATTGAAGTGCTGCACTCTGTAGCGAAGGTACTCCCATAGACCAATCAATGAGGGGCTGTGGCAATGTGACTGCAGCAACAGTGAAGAAATAGTGACACAAGGCTGTGTTCACACCGTAAAGACAGGTGATGGCTGTAGGGGAAATGTTCAACCTGCTTGCCTTGTGAGAAAGTGACCTCAAAGGTGGCATTTTGTTCTGGTGGGCGAATGGAGCGGCGTGGGGGATGTTGGCAGAAGTCCTTCCCTATTCCCCCTCCCAGAAAGAGATCACTGGCAGCCAGATGTTGTGGCAAATGTTTAAGAGGTCCATCTCGATGCTCCGGGACGTTTTTCCAGCTGTTTTATGAAAGAAAGAAACAATAAATAATAAAACAGCAGCCCCTGCCCCCAAATTTCTCTACGCAATCTCCAAGCCTCCTCTATGCTGAGCTGAATGAGATGTCGTGGTGTAGTGCTGATATCATCAGGTTAGAAACTCAGAACACCAAACTAATGTTTCGGGGACAAGGATTTGAACTCCATCATGGTAGATGATTATATCTGAATTCAACCAAAAACTCTAATCTAGTGGCACCCACATAACCATTGTCAATTCTTCTAGAATCCCATCCAGTTCACTCATGTCCTTTTGGGAAGTAGATCTGCTGCTTCTATCTGGTCTACCTTCTGAGGGATTTCAGACCCACTCCAATGTTAACTGCCCGCTTCTGAATTAGGGATGAGCAATAAATGTTGGCCTATTACTGATAGCCACATGCCTGGAAAGAATAAATAAGAAGTGTTGTCAGAGGAGGCATTGGTCAGCATATGGAGTCTGGATGAAAGGTTCTGAACTTAACTTGTAATAGGTTTCCTCCAGTTACTTTTAAGAAAAAAATACCTCATGACCTCTGAGGACCTGTAAGCTGTGAATCTTAACAAAGCTGGCTAGCCTCCATGAAATTGGTGGAGGGCTAGCAGATGACAATCTACTCAGCAAGATGCAGCCAGCTTGGGAGTGCAAGCAGTGACTTTTGCAAGCTTATCCCTCTTTGACTCAAATTGTGTGCAGCAGGGTTGGGGGAACGGGAGTCTTTGAATTGCATTCCACCTGCCTTTTTTTAAAGGCTGTTTCACCCTATGTTTCCAAGTCATGGTGGTGTGTGCTTTGGAGTTGGTAGTGTTCCCATGCATCTGCTGCAACAGTCTGTGGTAAAGATTGTGGGTTTCAAAGATGCTGTTGAGGAAGCCTTGTGAAGAGAGGAATTAGCATGAGTATAAATATTCTTCACCATTGTTTGGACAACGAGTGCTACGTTCTTTTTTCAATGCATTTCCCTGCATTGTGTTGGAGTAAATCCAAAGGAAGTTCCTCTGAAGTACCTGTTTTGTGCAATGAGCAGTGTGAGAAAATTAATAAAAACCAAAAGAACTGTGGATGCTGTAAATCAGGAACAAAAGGAAAGTTGCTGGAAAAGCTCAGCAGGTCTGGCAGCATCTGTGGAGGAGAAAACAGAGTTCACGTTTCTGGTCCGGTGACCCTTCCTCAGAACTCGTGTGTGTGTGTGTGAGAACATTAATGTTGGATGTGAGTATGTCTCTAATTTGTTTTTCATCTAAGCACTGAGGGACATTTACTAATTTAATATAATAATGGAGGAATGTTGTTTGTGTAAATATACCATTGTTCTATAAGTCAAGTACGAATTCACAAAAAAACAGGGAGGAACATGTTCCTTAATTCATTCTCACATTTTATGATGAAAATCAGTGTGTTTATTTGAACAGTTATCTTTCACTAACAGCAAAGAAACTGTTTAGAATATTTAGTTTGGCCTCTTGAAAAACGTGAACGGTTTTAAGAGTTTTCGATAAAAACCAGAAGAACTGCAGATGCTGTAAATCAGGAACAAAAACAGAAGTTGCTGGAAAAGCTCCGTAGGTTTGGCAGGATCTGTGAAGAAAAGTCAGAATTAACATTTCAGGTATGGTGATTCCTTCTCAGAGTACTTGAAACATTTAACTCTGGTTTTTCCAGCAACTTTGGTTTTTGTTCATTTTAAGAATTTTTGATGAGTGATAAAAGCCCTTGTTACAAAGACTGATGATGGAAGTAATTTTGGTCACACATCTTAACCTTCCTAGGATCCTACACTTCATGGCGTTAAACTGTCTCCTGGATGACCTTACAGATTTGGCCTCCTTTATCTACCTAATCTCTGGCCAATTATAATATTCTTTGATTTAACTTGCATAATTTTACATTGAGAGACAAGCCTGCAACCTGCAGGCACTGTATAATGTGTGCAAATAACATCACTAGCTTTTTTGGGAAAATGTATCTTTAGGGAGTTGGGCAGAGTGAGTTATAAGTGGCATTCTCTAGAAAAAAAATGGGAAAAGCCTCTCCCATGAATATTTGATTTTAATAAGATTGGACATTTCATTATTGTATTCTGCCCAGAACTGATCACATTATGGAATGCTAATTTCAAATCTGATAAGTCATTCCAAAATGTAGTCGTTCAGCTATTTGGTGTTTCAATGCAACATACAGCGCAGGAGATCTCATTCTGGTGCCAGCAAACCTGCTTTATGCTCTTATTTGTGTAGTGACTTGCAACTGAATAATACCATTGAACCCTATAATTAAATCTGCATTCTGGGCTCACACTGCTCATTGCACAACAGAGATACTTAAGAGGAACTTCCTTCAGATTTAACCCAACACGATGCAGGGAAATGCAGCTTTGGAAAAAAAAATTAAATTAAGCACGTCTCCATTTTAATCTTGAAGAAATGTGAAGAAAAGAAAACAGATGCAGAATTTACTTGCAGTGGCTTTTGTATTTTGCTGAGATGCTTCGAACTGGTAGAATGTGTCATTAATTTTTGTAGTCTTTCCGCTTCCTTTTGTATTTTCAAAGGAAAGAAGAGGCTAGTGGAATTCCACTGTGTAATGTACAGCCGTCTTTTCTAGCCTTTTTTTGTAACCTGTTTCTACAAGCTGAGCTGTTGTCCTCAGATCTCCACATAACAACATTGCCATTAATTCTGTGGAAATGTTTTAATTTATTCATGACGGTTACAAGAGACAATATTAAGATATGTCTGAAAACCTTGTGACGTTATTCAAATCAATTGGTACATCCATTCAAAATATGTCAAGAAAACGTAACAGAAAAATATGATTAGCATGTGTCATTGATTAATAGTCACTATTTGTCACAGTTAACAACTTCCATAATGACCGAGGGACGTTCACGAATGGAATTATTCACCTTGTGCAGAGGAAGCTGGGAATACTTAAGTCTGTAACTGTATCTTTTCACCATCTTTCCACAGTAGAAGTAGCTAACATATCAACTATTTCCATGTAACAATAGCAGGTTTCAGTTAAGGTCTCCCTGACACAAAGTGACAACAGGAGAAGTGGGAACTGTAGCTGGTTTCTGCGGTATTTTCCCAGATGACCGTTCCTGGCACATTTCTGATATTTGCCTCGTCTACCAATGTGTGACTATGGTTTGTTTGAGGTAGTTTTCTGCCACCAATCCTATGTTGCCTTTAATTTGCCTTGGGGTTAATCGATGATTGATGATAGAGGATACATCACTATGGAGTATTGACAGAAGAGGCACTGATCTTGAATGACAAGATGGCTTGTTGCATGATAGCAATAAGTATGACTGCATTTGTCAGGCATAGCTACCAGGATTTTAGGGAACTGGCACAGTTAGAACGGGCTCCTCCAAAAACTAGAGTAGAGCTTCCTGTCTCAATCCACAGACTTCGTGACATCTAGAGAATGACCATTAACCCCTTCAGAACTAGTATCCAAACAGTTTCCAGTTACAATTATCAGCCATTTTGATTATAATCAATTGAGATAAGTGTAGACTGGTTGAAATTTCCAACTGGTTTTAAAACTTTTTCTTTTCCATTGTATTGAGGTATGATAAGATTCGCATAAATCGGGAAGCTCTAACAGGTCATGTGGCTCTACATGCATAAGAAAGAAGATGCCAGTCTAGAATGAGTATGTGAAGAGAAGGGTTTTGGATGCTACACCAAGAGAATGGTATTTGATAAGCCTATGTAAATAAAGTGGTGTTACAGTACATAAGGAGTTGAAGAACCTTACTTGGATATAAGACACAAGGAGTTTCCGTGGCAGTGAATGTGTAAGCACACTCAGCCCACAGATCCACAGAATCTCGTTGTGCATGGAGCAACGCTTTACAGCGAAAGATAAACCGAGAATGGCATTCCCTTTTCACTTCAAGCACAACCCATACTTTTATTCTATGCGAAGCCTCCCAGCTGTGAACAATGCACATAGAAACCCTTTACTTAAAGAGAATATTCCCACAATACACTATTGATGAACATCGCCATGTCTAGAGAATTATTTTCCTCCTTTCTTAAGCACTATAAGACTGCGTTTGTTCTTAGAAAACAGTATCTGATTATTACTTTTTCTGATTGGGACCCTGTTTTCTGTTTTGTAGGATTCCCGCCTGTGAACAAGAACATGCCAGCTGTCGGGGGTGGGTTGCGCTGGGCACTGGAATTAAGAGAACGGATTCAGGTCCCATTTAATAGCTTCAAGAGTATCTCACACCCGTATGTATCCAGCCGTGTACAATGAACATTGTTCTGAGAAAGTGCTATCTCTCTCTTTTTTTCTATAACTGACCAAATGACATTTTCCCTCTTTAAAGAATAAATGGCCTCGGAAGATATTTGGCTTCGAAACAAAAACAGAAAGTACTGGAGACAAAGAAGGGTCACTGGACTCAAAATGTTAACTCTGCTTTCCCTCCACAGATGCTGCCAGACCTGCTGAGTTAATTTCTGTGATAGTAGGAACTGCAGATGCTGGTGAATCCGAGACAACAAGGTGCAGGGCTGGATGAACACAGCAGGCCAGGCAGCATCATAGGAGCAGAGAGGCTGACGTTTTGGGCCTAGACCCTTCATCAGAAAAGGGGGAGGGGAAGGGGGCTCTGAAATAAATAGGGAGAGAGTGAGAGGCGGATAGAGGAGAGGAAACAAACGGGTCGAAGAGGCGGGGATGGGGCCAGTAAAGGTGAGTGTAGGTGGGGAGTTAGGGAGGGGATAGGTCAGTCCAGGGAGGACGGACAGGTCAAGGGGGCGGGATGAGGTTAGTCGGTAGGAGATGGAGGTGCGGCTTGAGGTGGGAGGAGGGGATAGGTGGGAGGAAGAACAGGTTAGGGAGGCAGGGACGAGCTGGGCTGGTTTTGGGATGTGGTAGGGGGAGGGAAGATTTTGAAACTTGTGAAATCCACATTGATACCATTGGGCTGCAGGGTTCCCAAGCGGAATGAGTTGCTGTTCCTGCAACCTTTGGGTGGCATCGTTGTGGCACTGCAGGAGGCCCAGGATGGACATGTCGTCTGAGGAATGGGAGGGGGAGTTGAAATGGTTTGCGACTGGGAGGTGCAGTTGTTTGTTGCGAACCGAGCGTAGGTGTTCTGCAAAGCGGTCCCCGAGTCTCCGCTTGGTTTCCCCGATGTAGAGGAAGCCACACCGGGTACAGCGGATGCAGTATACCACATTGGCAGATGTGCAGGTGAACATCTGCTTGATGTGGAAAGTCTTCTTGGGGCCTGGGATGGGGGTGAGGGAGGAGGTATGGGGGCAGGTGTAGCACTTCCTGCGGTTGCAGGGAAAAGTGCCGGGTGTGGTGGAGCTGGAGGGGTGGCAACGGCAGCGATGGTGTTCGCTGTCCCGGAAGTGGGGAACCCGGCGGTGGCGGATGTGACATCATCTGTGGGTTCTCCGAAAGTGGCCTCATGGCCAGTGGCGGCGGACGCATTGTGGGGAAGGTCCTGGGTATGGCTGGGGATTTGGGGGGTGGAGGAAGCCGGTTTTGGGTGGTAGGCACCAGTGAGTTTACTGTACTTACGGTTTTTAGTGTCCAATAAAGCTGAGTAGAATTGTGAGTTCAGGTTGTGGATCCTACGAAGAATAAAAAACAGGAGAGGTCCTTTGCAGGTCTGGGAGAGGGAGGCTCTGAACTGGGGTCGGCTTGATTGTAGTGCCCGGAGATGCCGACGCATTGCTGCAAGTGTGTGTTTCAGGAGTCGCAGGGAGAAAAGCTTCTGAAGGATCTCAATGCCATGAGTGTAGATATTGTCACGGTTGGGGCCAAATTGGGAAGGCTTGAATGTGGATTGTAGTCCATTGGGGATGATTTCTGTGTTTATTTCAGATCTTCAGCATCTGCAATTCTTTGTTTTATTTCAGGTTTTTGGCTTTGGGGACTGAAAAACCCCCGTGGATGTGCCCCCTGGGAGTTGCATTACTGTACCAGTTCTGCAACCTTGGCAAGATGGGTAACATCTTGCAGTGGTGTTTAAATGGATTTTTTTAAGAAGGAGAAGAAAAGGGCATTGGGAATGGAAGCAACTATAGATCACTGAGAACTGGTACAGGCGTTACAGCTGCTTTGTGCTTTAACGTTATGTGGTTAAACCCTGTTCAGGATATCTTACTGTGCACAAAATGGCTGCAACATTTGCCTTTATATTGAGACATTGCATTTTAAAGCATTATTCTTTGTATGTAAGCCACTTTGAGAAGTTTCTGAACAGTGGAATGTTTCATGATGTATAAAAACCATTTCCCCCCATCTCTCATAGATAACAAGGTGTAGAGCTGGATGAACACAGCAGGCCTAGCAGCATTAGAGGAGCAGGAAAGCTG